AAACCATTTCAGGTGACTACCTCTTGAAGCTCATGGAGAGAATGCCAAGAGTGTGCAAAGCAGTAATCAGAGCAAAGGGTGGCTATTTTGAAGAAACTAGAATATAAAACATGTTTTCAGTTATTTCACCTTTTTTTGTTAAGTACATAACTCCACATGTGTTCAATCATAGTTTTGATGCCTTCAGTGAGAATCTACAATGTAAATAGTCATGAAAATAAAGAAAAACGCATTGAATGAGAAGGTGTGTCCAAACTTTTGGCCTGTAATGTATATATATAATCAGACAGTTATCACATAATGTTATATATACATATATAATGATACAGTTATCAGTAACAAAGCAGACAGACAGACAGACTGTCTGACAGACAGACAGGTTCTCTGACTGACAGACAGACAGACAGGCTTTCTGACAGACATACAGGTTCTCTGACTGACTGACTGACAGACAGACAGGCTCTCTGACAGACAGACAGGTTCTCTGACAGAAAGTCGTTTGGTTCTTTTCTTGTTCAGATTTTTAACTCGAATCAGAAAACAAATCAAATATCAAACTTGTCAGTAACACACTGAGTTTAATCTCTAATGTGTCTTCACTCACAGTCATGTTGTGATGTATCAGATCAGTCCGATCAGCTGTCCAATCAATAACTCATATCCAATCAGGAGGTCTGTCGGTCAGTGAAAGACTTCAGTGAAGGCTGCACTCGTGTATCCTTGCTTCCCTCTCCTCTGAAAGCCTCCTCTCTCCTCGACTCCTCGACTCCTCCAAGTGCATTTAACAAACTGACACGTTCCATACTACAAGATGGCGAGTCTTGATCAGTTCCTGGGTCAAGTGATCGAGGACAGAGGACGGAGGAGTCAAGGAGGGACATTGGGATGAACCCGTTGTCTCCTCCACCACCAGACTCCACTAAAAAAAAATGACGATTTAAAATTTAATGTTTGTTTTAACAAAAGAAATGTAGAAATTAAAACTTAATTATTTTTAATAAACTCTTTGATGTTCCAGGCCCAGTATTTCAAAGTGATCTGATAGGATTATCCTGGCCGGATTGGATTAAATACTGATCAGATCTGAAAACTGGGTATTTCAAAACAGATCAAGAGGATACTGATCCTGAAGATCAGAATTCAGATCTGGTAATACAATCCTCCCTTTAATCCAGATAAAGGCTGCATTTGGGTGTTTCAAAAGTTAAGGCAGAGATCTGGATCTATTTGATACCAAATTTCAGGATTATTTGGATCCCGCCTCAGAGGTGGATTTGACAAAGCCTCAGCTCCACTTCTCCTAGATATTGTTACTCAGGATGTTCATTACACTTAATCTAAATTAGTGTTTTAGTTGTAAGTAATTTCAAGCATAGAAAAAAATTGTTTGGCCATACTTCATAAAACTGCTGTAAATAAGAGTAACAAATACAGACCTATTTCTCAACGTCTAGTTTCACCTAACATTGTAACTTGTTTGTACCAAAACATCCAACATATGTTTGTGGTCAGACAAAGGCAAGGAAATGCAAAGCAAATTTATTTGTATCGCACATTCTTTTCTTTACAGAGAGTGACAGAAACAACACAGGGATTAACATAATAAGCACATGGCAGTTCAAACAAAGTATTAAAAAAGCAATTAGAAACAAAATGTAAATCTAAATAGTGTCACAGTCCCTAAAGACTGCTCACAGGTCTGAGGTGAGCTTCTTTTCCAGAAGTTTTATCTTCAATTCTGTCTCTCTCTCTGCTGAAGCAGCATCAGCTTGAGCTGCTCGTCAGCCAATTCAATTTGTCTCTCCGCCCTCTCAGTCTCCATTCTCTGTCAGGAATCCACAATAGTCACAGAAATTGTTTAAGTACAGAAAAGCACATCACCATCATTACTGTAGCATACCAAAACTCGATCCTCTGACATTTCTGAATGAACCGCATAATTCATACTAGTNACAGAAAAGCACATCACCATCATTACTGTAGCATACCAAAACTCGATCCTCTGACATTTCTGAATGAACTGCATAATTCATACTAGTTCTGTGTATTTTTCCTATACTGCAGCAGTCTGCTCTGTACACATGTAAAAAAAATATTAAGTAAAGTCCGCTGTGTTGGCAATAACATAACGTTGAACTCTGAACAGGTTGGTGTTTAAAGAGTTCGTGTATGACGTACTTCAGATTAATTCCCTTTTAAATTAAGCCATAGACCGCAAAATACACCAGCAAAGCCAGCTACCTCGCTAGCCTGCTAGCTACTTAACATGCAAGTCAATGGAGCCGCGTTAGCTACCGTTAGCATGACCTCAGCTCAATTAGAGATCGTAGGTGACAATTCAAATAGTTGGCTCACATGAGATGGTGGGTGGCCTTCGTATGGTCTTAAAAACGCTACACATTAGGTAACGGTATACCTACATTTTGATGTCAAAGCTGTGCTACCAACTGCTCCTTTAGTGAAGCAGTCCGCCATGTTTCAGATCAGGGGGCGGAGTTGTGAGATTTGGAAATCCCTATCCAGTCAGATTGGGATCAAAGTGATCCACCCTGCCAATGTTTTGAAATACCCAGATAAAGTCAGCAGGATCACCTTGATCCCTGACTGAGAACAGGAGGATTTCATAATCCGGATAATTCTGATCCAGATTACAAGTTTTGAAATACTGGGCCCTGATGTTCTCGGCTCATCTTACTGTCTCAAATTAATTTTCTGTCCTCTGATGGAGGTCTCAGAGTCTCAGAACTGTTTCAGGTGTAGACCGTCAGTCTGTCTCCTCTGTCAGCAGGACGGGTGAAGGTGGGCGGAGTTTTTGCTGCTCACAGACTTCCTGTTTCTGTTCTCAGGTTGAACCCACGAGACCTGAACCTGGACCACAGTACAGATCCCAGCTCAGACCAGGACCTTGATCCTGATCCTGACTCTGACTCTGATCCTGGTCCTGGTCCTGGTCCTGACTCTGACTCTGACTCTGACTCTGATCTTGGTCCTGGTCCCGGTCCCGGTCCTGGTCCTGGTCCTGGCTCTGATCCTGGTCCTTTGGTTCCAGGTCCTGGTTTTGTCCTGGTGGTCTCTGACAGTGAGGTGAGTCGTTAGTGTTTCGGTGTGAAGCTCCGACACAAACAAACAAACAAACAAAAGTAAAAGCTTGTGTTTAGTTGTTGGGGCTCAGCTGAAGGTCTGTCCCTCTGCTGAAGGTCTGTCAAACTCAAGGGCCCTGTTTTTACTCCTCAGTAACATTACTCAACCTCCGGACTCTCTTCCTCCACAGATGTACTCTACTGCCTTTTGTAATACCCTTCCATCCTTTTTTACTGCTAAAATTCATAACATCCATCAGCAACTTTCTCCTAGCTCCTCTCACAATTCATCTTCCTTATTTCCCTCTGTGTCCCCTTCCCAGTCACTCTCAGCATTTGCTCTACCTTCCGTTTTCGAAACCACTAGTCTGATCAAAAAATCCAAATCATCAACCTGCCAGTTAGATCCCCTTCCAACTACTCTTGTTAAAGCCACCGTTCCCTTTCTGGCCCCTCTCATCACGGACATAATCCATTCTTCCCTCACCACTGGAATTGTTCCATCACCCCTCAAAACAGCTGCTGTCACCCCAATACTCAAGAAACCTGGCGCAGATCCCAATAACCACAATAACCTCCGTCCCATCTCCAATCTTCCATTTCTCTCAAAGATACTTGAAAAAACTGTTGCCTCTAAGCTCCATTCCCACCTTTCCCGCAATAATCTTTTTGATCAATTCCAGTCCGGTTTCCACCCTCTCCACAATACTGAAACGGCACTTCTCAAAATCACCAACGATCTCCTCCTGGCAGCCGATTCCGGTCTCCTATCCATCCTCATCCTGCTTGACCTGAGTGCGGCATTTGACACCATCTCACACACCACCATCCTGGACGGACTCCTCTCTATTGGCATCACACACACCCCTCAACTGGTTCAAATCCTACCTCTCCGGCAGCTCTCAGATCATCCAACTCAAATCATTCACATCACAACCACTTCCAGTCACCACAGGTGTGCCCCAGGGCTCTGTCCTGGGGCCCCTGCTATTCATCATTTACTTACTTCCCCTTGGCTCATACACGGATGACACCCAGCTCCATATTTCCACCAAACCCGACTCCACCCTCCCGCCTTCCTCCCTCACTGACTGCCTCTGTGAAATAAAATCCTGGTTTTCATCCAACTTCTTCAAATTAAACAGCGGCAAAACAGAAATTCTACTCATTGGCACTAAAACCACCCTATCCAAATCCCCCAGTTTCACATTATCTATTGACAACTCTTCCATTTCTCCTTCCCCACAGGTCAAGAGTCTGGGTGTCATCCTCGACAGCACACTTTCCTACACTTCTCATATCAACCACATAACCTGGTCAGCTTACTTCCATCTCCGCAACATCAACCGCCTCCACCGCTCTCTCACACAGCTGCTATTCTGGTCCACAGTCTCGTCACCTCCTGGCTTGACTACTGCAACTCCCTCCTGTTCGGTCTTCCACAAAAAACTCTCCATAAACTACAACTGGTACAGAATTCAGCAGCTCGTATCATCACAAGGACCCCATCCACTCACCACATTACACCCGTCCTGCAGCAGCTCCACTGGCTCCCCATCACACACCGTATCCAATACAAGATTTTACTGCTCACCTTCAAGGCCATTCACAACCTCGCCCCTCCATACCTGTCTGACCTCCTCCACATTGCAACACCAGCACACACACTCAGATCCTCTTCCTCCATCCACCTCTCCGTTCCCCCGCCCACCTGGCTACCATGGGGAGCACAGCATTCAGCCACTCTGCTCCCCAGCTCTGGAATTCACTCCCCCCTGACCTCCGCAACACCACATCTGTCAATCTGTTCAAATCCAAACTCAAAACACATCTGTTCAGACTTGCCCATTCCACCTGATCAAATGCACTATGTTCTTACACTGTCTTAGTGTCTTCCCCTCTATTTTAATGTATTTGTATGATGTTTTGTATGCTGTGTTTCTTGTTTGATGTATGCTTTTTTATCTTTGCTGTAAGGCGACCTTGAGTGGCTTGAAAGGCGCCCTAACAAATAAAATGCATCATTATTATTATTATTATTATTATTATTATTATTATTATTAAGTACCTTGGTATCACATTAGACACGAATCTCACATTTAAGAAACACATCAAAAAAGTGGCCAACATGATAAGATTCAGCCTGCAAAATTTCAAACAAATCAGGCCCCTCATCTCGTCTGATGCTGCTAAATCTGATCTCCACTGCATGATTCTGTCTCATATTGAGTACTGTTTTGTGATATGGTCGTTTGCTGGAGTCACCACACTGAAACTTATTGAACAACTCTACAAAAAAGCCATCAAGGTATTCGCCACAAAAACATATTCCTCACATCACTGTCCAATTCTTGCGAGGTACAATTTATTGAGTTTTGAACATTTTAAAACTTTTAAATACAGCTGCCTCATCTATAAAACCCTCAACGGGCTGGCTCCTCCCCCTCTGGAGGACTTTTTTAAACGGACAGACAACACGCTCAGTACCAGATCTGCCTCCAGAGGGGACTGCAAGGTGCAGTTCAGACGAACCTCTATAGGCCGAAATTCCCTTACTGTAAAGGGCAGTGCAGGTTGGAACGGTCTCCCAACCTCAATCAGAGACAGTCCCACTCTCACTACTTTTAAAAAACAGCTTTAAGGATGGCTATTGACTCATCAAATCTGCACCCATGAATGACTCATTGATCAGCCCTCTCATACAGTCTCTACTGTAGCCCCTTGTTGAATCTACTGTATAACTGCTGCTAATATTGTTGTGCACTTTATATGTTGTTGATTTAGCTGTTATATATGGTATGTCTGTCTGTCTGTCTTTTAATGTGAGGACTACGGATGGAAATTAGCTTCTAGCTAAATCCGGCATATTTACATGACGTCATGTATTTGTACCGATTATTCATTAATATGCACTGTCCTCTTCAAATAAAGTGAAATTGAAATGGAAGGTCTGTCCCTCTGAGTGCGGGTCTGTCCCTCTGAGTGCGGGTCTGTCCCTCTGACAGAAGGAACACACGGTGGACACACAGGTGACGCAGAGGGGACACACAGGGGGCAAAGGGGACACACAGGGAACAGAGGAGACACACAGGGGACAGAGGGGGGACACACAGGGGACAGAGGAGACACACAGGG